TCTTGTTATTATAAGAAGCGGGTTTTGAGACAAAGCATTTTGTAATCCAGTGTGAGACGTCCTGCTGAACTTTTCATTCAAAGCAACAACGCCGTATGAATATTTGAGTACTCTGCACATTGTGGACACGTGTTGGAGTTTTTATATGAAACACAGGATCAGCGGTCACTCACCAGCCTGTTTGTTGCCGGGACGAACATTCCCAAAATAAATACGCCCAGTAACGGACCGCTGACCACACCCATGACAGTGAAGGATCCCTGCAGAGAGGGAACAGACGATGCTCTGGATAACCAACCAAACAAATAAGACTCTATTACAGAACACAAAACTCATCTTATATAGTAGTACAGCTGAACAACTGCTTAGATGCCCAGAGGTCAGACAGTCAACCAACCAGAAGAGGCTCTTGAGTTCAAGTTTGGCTGCCTTGTGCTACAAAACTTCAGCATTAGGATGACTTCTATGGATCTTATATAATTTCTAACAAGTCCTAAAGTTTACCTTAAAAACAAACAGTAAAAAACAACATCTATTAGTTCATTTATTCAGTGTTTCATGCTGTCATTAACTACTTGTCTATTCTGTTTCTGTAAAAGCTCTTGTGTTGCAGCATTTTCACAAATAAAAGAGTTAAAATGATGATAAATGGTAGCTACTATACCTGAAGAACTCCCCAGTCCAGCAAGGAGGACAGAGCAGCGACAGTGATACAGCCGACTCCATACAGGAATGCTGAGAGAAAAAAAAAAAGAGTAAATAGTGTGTAAATGTAGTGGAGCCGTGCAAAATATGAGCAGCAGGGACTGAAACTACAACACCTGCAGTATAACCTTCTGTTTATGCAGTTTATGAGAGGAGGTGCCAGTGTTAACCCAATGACAATGAGTTTTAAAAGAAAAGTAAAATATAAATGGTTTAACTCATTCCAGTCAGTGAGAGTCAACCTACACAGTCCTTTGGAAACAAGCACCAGTTTCTTCTGTGACATGTGGAGCAGATGAGGTCGCAGCAGGTCCTCCATCGTCACCGCGGCCATGGCGTTGATGCTCGTGGAGGCCGTGCTGGTAAAAAGACACGTGGTGAGCGGTGCCGAGTGTTTACATACAACTAGTCGTACTATCTTTTGGCTCCGGCAATAAATGTTGGAGCTGCAGCGTGCAAAAGGTGTCTCCCACGTAAACACAGTGGCTTTACCGGGAGACGCTTTGTCCCTGCACTGGTAGAAAACAACACAACAGCGCTCATATCATTTACTTAAGTAAGAGTCACAAGACAAAAATGTAAAAATATCTTCTAGTCCAAGCGAATTTCTCTCATTCAGAATCCCAATTAGGGAAAAGTACAGAGCTTCAGAAAATAAACGTACCTAATATATCAATGTGCATACAGCTGGTTTAGTTGCAGAGTCACAGGATAAATCTGCAGTAAGGTAACATTTTTTAAAAAAATAGATGATTTGTGTTTGTATGTTGAACTAATCTCAGTTTTCTCTCTTTTGAATCTCAAAAAGTAATTCGATTAAAACAGCCAGGAAAGTCTATTTGGCAGAACAGTGGGTAGCACTGTCACCTCACAGCTACAAGGTCCTGGGTTCTAATCTCGGCCTGGGATCTTTCTGCATGGAGTTTGCATGTTCTCTCCATACAGCCCCTTGGGTTCTCTCTGGGTTCTCCTCCCACAGTCCAAAAACATCCATCCATCCATTATCTACACACTGCTTAATCCTCACTAGGGTCGTGGGGGGCGGAGCCTATCCCAGCTGACTCAGGGTGAAGGCAGGTTCACCTGGACAGGTAACCAGTCTATCACAGGGCTACACTTAGAGACAGACAACCAAGCACACTCACATTCACACCTACGGACAATTTAGAATAACCAATTACACATGTTTTTGGACTGTGTGGGATGAAGTTGGAGAACCCGGAGAGAACCCACGCTGCACGGGGAGAACATGGAAGATCCCGGGTGTCCTCACTGGGACGCGAACCGGCGACCTTCTTGCTGCGAGGCGACGGTGCTAACCACCAAGCCACCTTGCAGCCCGTCCAAAAACATGTTGTAGGTGTGAATGCCACGACCCGAGTGAGGATTAAGCGGTGTAGAGGTGATGGATTGATGGATGGATGTTTGGTGGACCTGCAAACATCTCACAGACTTGAGGTGTTTGCAGGTGATGCTCTTTTTGTCAGGGGGTGAAGCCAAGAAGGTTACGTCTTAAATGTTGTGGAATTAAAGGTACAATATGTCACTGCTGAACACAATGAAACTGCAGCATAAAGATGCAGAAAGCCTGAATACTCAAGCAAAGTACAAGTGACTCATCATATTACCTAAATACAGCATTTAGGTAACTGTACTTAGCTACATTCCAACAATAATTGAATCTGTCTTAAGCTAGGTTTAGAGACAGCTGGACTGACATACCTCAGAGTGCCGCTGTACGCACAGGCAAGGAAGAGACCTGGGAAGCCCGGGTGATTATTGAATATGTCCAACACAAAGTACGGCATATACTTCATCAGACGGACAAACAGGTAAAAGGGAAAAGGGGGAAATTAGTGTGTTTAACATAAGTGTAACTGTTTAATTACAGTCTGCACAACACACTTTGACTTTCAGGGTGGTTTGACCGCGGCCACATCAAAGCTGGTAGTAAAGAGCAAACATAAATATTTGAAATGTTAAGTAGCTCATTATGTAACCAAGTCAAACAATATAAGTTAAAATGATGAGTGTAGCTGTCAATAAAGCCGCCTGGTAATGTTTCTCTATCAATTCAGTCTAAATTGGAGATTTAGAGTAAAAATAAAAATATTTTGCCAATGAATGAAATCTTGGGGGGAAAATTAAGTTAACTTTAATCCAATTTAAACATAGTTAAAAACTTTGTCTAGGGGAAGGCTGCTGCTGTCAGAGAAGCGCTGCGACTTTGTGCTTCTATGTTCGAAAGGCGTGTTTTCTTTTCAAAAATTGCCAAAATTACATCGATTTATCAGAGCCAGACGCACTAAAAACAGTAAAAATCGTCACAGCCGTTTTGTTCCATCAGGAAAAACGATCAAATCTAAGCCTAAAATTGTGATATTTCATCAAAATCACTTTATTCTACCTCTCAATGGAAAAAAAAAAACCAAAAATATATTGTTTCCATCAGATCCTAGAGAAATCACAACAGCCACATGACTAAAACTCTGACACTTTTTGGGTAAAGGCTGTGTTTAGACAGAGAGGAGAGCATGACTGAGAAATAAAACTAAAACAGACTTGACCAATTTTAAAAATGCAGCATGACTCAAGGACGGCATAAAGAGCAGCAAGTTGTTGAAATGCTGCGACATGACGTGTTGTGAACTGGAACTATACAAATAAAGCTGAATTGAATTAAAGACACATTCAACATGGTGAAATATCCGTCTGCAGCGTGTAGAGTAATGTGAAAAACATCTGTCGAGGCTGCAAAAATGTAAAAAAATCTATATTTTTAGTATTTTTATGATTGTAAATGTGCCCTGCTGTATGAGTTGTGTCTAGTTCTAGCAATGCTTTTTCAGTAGAAGTGCAGGATTTTATATTTCAGTGGAAAACGAGCAAATAGTGAGTTAAAAAAAAAAAAACAGCCCAAGGAACTGTTTGGTTGAAAGGTTAAAACCAGTATCACTTAAAACTGCACAGCTTCATGTTTGAATCTAGGTACCAGGTCGGGGGCAGAAATCCTCCCAGACTTCAGCGGATCGCAGTTGTTGTAATAAGCAAACATGACAATGCCGCATGTTGCTGCGCTGCTCACAATGAGGCACAGACCCACTTGGTTCACGAACAGCGCCCTGCAATCAAAAGCAAACATTATTATAGTGACTCAAGGTTGTTGTTTCCTCCACTGACTCAATAACCTGGCGTGGGAACATAAAGTCAGCTGACAAGGAAGAAGGAATGAATTTAGAAAGTGACAATGGACCAAACGATGACTGAAAGTCTCAGCTTGTTCCTACACTTTGTTCATCAGACGTCATCAGTTCATGCAGAGACGGAGCAATTTCATAAAAGACACTGAAACACAAGATCAGATGTTTCACATGTAGTGAACTGGTCTGTCCTGTTTCTTAAGGAAATATGAAACAATAATGTCACCCTAAAACAAACATGTGGATACTGGATGGATAGCTGTGTCAATAATGAAACTGTGCTGAGTGATAATGACCATGAAACATTCCACCTTCTATCTAAACATAATAGATAGAAAGAGTCGTACGGCTTCTTATTGTGTTCTACCTGCAAGACCAAGGACACAAACACTATGTCTGCACTGCAGCAAGTCATTTTCTTAAACGGCCAACACAAACAATGTGTCTATCATTTTTTCAAGTTAGAGTGCAATCTAAATGTATGGCCTTGAGTTTGACCTTGACATATCATCCAAGGTCAAATGTGGCATCACCAACAGAAAGCCCCAACATGAATGAAATGAAAAAATGAAATGAAAAATACTTTATTTATCCCAGAAGGGAAATTCAATATTGTAAAAGCTCACTTTAAAAAAAAAATCAATATAACATATATTTCATACAACAATAATAATAATCATTCAGTCAGTCAGATTTGTTTTTCAAGGTGATGGCTGTTGGCAGGAATGAATTTCTGTATCTCTCCGTTTTACAGCAAAACTGATGCAGCCAACATGGTTGCCTATCTGCACCAAATACCATAAATCTACCTCCCGCCCTGAAGGTTTATGACATTTTTGAAAACGTGACCTTTCAGTGATTGACTCCAAAATTGAATCATTCCGAGGAGAAGCCATTCGTAGCTCACCTGTAAAATATCAACTAGTTAGACCTTAGCACTGAGCTAGAGACTGCTCACAGACACACAGATGGGACCGATTGATCCATAGTTGTCCCCTGGTCAGGGGCAACTATAATAAATGTTGAGTTGCTAGAACTTTATAAAACTGTAAAGCAGGTCTCCACTCACCACTGGGCTGCTTTCTCTGTTCGGCAGGAGATGTAGCGCTGGACCTGAGCTTGGTTCACTCCGTACATGGACAACCAAACCAACGCACCGCCGACAGAGAGGCTCCAGAAGGTGTAGCGCCTCCGAGGGTCGGCGTCGAAACTGATGAAGAGCATCACAGCAGACTGTTAACACCTGGTCAACGTCAACACAGGGGTCACGTGACAATTAAGCAATCTCAAGCTGCCGCCAGCCTGAGTGATGCAGTGAGCTGCTGCCTGACCTGGATGCGCTCTCACAACGACATGAACAAGTATTTATGTGCTGAAAAAGTTTTTACTCATGAAAATTAATGCGCGATCCATTGTTGGCGATCTCCAGTACCAGTGCAGGACCTCCGACCAGAACCGTGCCGTGGATGAAGATGGCCACGAAGCCCGACAGCATGACGATAATCTGGAACACGTCGGTCCAGATCACAGCTTTCATGCCGCCCTGCACGCAAACGATGGAGCAGACAGACAGACGGACGGACACGTGAGGTATAATGAGTTTTATGCTATTAGAGAAGACTTAGTGTTTAAACTGAAGTCTGACCTTGGTGCTACAGAGCACCCATAGTTATTGTATTCAGAGCGTTTTTTATAAACTCTCGAGGTTGTTCATTTGGTCAGTTGTCACCATCACCAGCTGAAAATATGTTGGATCTCAGAGAAACTGTGGATTTCATTGAAAGCTGTGATGCCTGAAGTTAAACTTAATCTAATGAAAAGAATCTTAAAAAACATAGTTGTGAGCTTCCAACACCAAACTAAACCAATCAGTCAATCCCCTCATGACACAAAAGTTTAACCTTTTGGGTGTTTCTTGTCTGAACGGGGACTAAGAGGAAGTTCTCTTTTTTCCATTCATTCAAAATATCCAAAATAAAATGCAATGTTTTAATTCAAGATTCAAGGTTTGAGTATTAAGTTTACTCCTGTCCAGTCCAGTCCTGTTCTGTTATATGTCCTGTCAAGTCCCGTTCAGTCCTGTTCAATCCTGTCCTTCCAAAATACTGCAAATTTTAGTTTCTCTAGAGCGACACCATCAGTGAAGCATCTAACTGTAAACGTCCACCTTATGATTAAAAGGACGAGACCTGCTAGACGTTGTGTTGCACAAATGAGCCAAAAAGCATTTCTAACTGAACACGTCAATCTCTGCAGAGACCAGTCCTGCTTGTTAATACGCGACTGCTCCAAAGTTCAATGAGGATATTCGTAAATAAAAGAAATCCTACCACTGTTGTGTACACAGTGCAGATGATCCCAGTAGAAAACAGAGACACCCACATATTCAGTCCAGTTGCTGCAAACACACACAAGTTATCACACGGCATCAAAAACACCCTTTTAAATTGATCACATTTCATCTTAAACTGTAGACAAGCTCTGGTCATTAATAAACAACGTTTTCCACTCCATACCTAAAAGCTGCAGTCCTGTATAGTTAATGAGGATATCCTTAAAACCTGGACTTCGCTGTGTTGTGTTATGATACATCAAACATATTATTGTCTTGATTTCACTCCTAATCAGGAAGCAGACGCAGTAACAGGCAATAACAGACGACTTTAATACTAAATGACCAACATAAACGGCCGAAACGGAGCAAAAAAAGGTCTGATGTGATAAAAATCTTACTTTTCCTGTTGTTACCATGAGATCTAAACTTGCTGATCCTTAACATTATGTCTAATTTTATTGCAAAACTGCAGCTAACTCTTGATTTTTTTCCAATGGGGGGTTTCACGTCACATTTTTTGTCATATTTATTTACATTCACTGTTTAGTCGATTCCTCGCTCAGGTTTAAATTAAACAAACCATGACAATAAACAGCCTCATATTACTCAAAAAATATAAGAAATTTCTGACAAAAAAAGAATATTTACACTCTGATTAAGTTGGAATTTTGTGGGGGATAAAAAAAAAAATCATGTAACCGTTGGATTAAACGCTATAGAAATGTAGAAATTACCACCCAACGAATGACATTTCCCATTAGTCTGTGCAGACTGGAGGCTGTCAGCTGATCTCTCGTACCTTGGTTGAGGATTAAAGCCGGTGCATAGATGACGATCCCAGTGTAAAGCAGCTGAGGGATAGAAAACACAAGAAAATCACTGAGCGTAGCGACAAACGCTGCCTGAAGCAACACAGCTGAAGCGAGTGTATTATCTCGTAAATGTCAAATGATTCAAAAGTCAATAATTTCTTAAAACTGAACAGTCGCGTGATGATCAAAATACAGCCCTCATGGTAGGAACTCAATGCAACAGAAGTCAGTTCACCTTTTATTACTGGGATTCAAATCTTTTACTTTCCCTGAGACTCTGTCTGTCCAACTTTACTTTTAATAACCGGTTCACAGAGGAAACCAAATATCTGGAGAGATGTTTTGTCATTCTTCTTTTTGCAGTTGCTCTTTGGCACATGAGGTTGTGTTGCTCTACTTTTTTTAATTTAAATACCTCAATGGTACTGGATTCAAGTCAGCTGACAAACTTACCAAGTCTTTGCTTAATGTTTTTTGCTTCAATATGGACACAAATGTGCTTTTTTTGTTTCAGTGTTCACAGATTTTCCAACTTGTGTGTCAGTGATCACAGGTGTGTTCAGTTTTTTCTATTGAATTTCTACTTTAGGGCCTGTATTTATAATAAAGTCTTTCAAAAGTATCTGTTTTTGGTACATAAGAGGAAATACTTTATTGTCATATTAGAAATAATGCAGTTACTCTGCTGTGTTCTGTATATCTGACTTCACAACGTAGCAGTCCTGAGTGACGGAGAACATAACGGAGTCTGTCTTACCGTCGCAATGAGAAACTGGATGCTTCCCAGCAGCTGCATCCCTCTGCCAAACCTCATCTTCAGATACTGTGACAGGCAGAATGCTGGAGTTAGAACATCACAGAGAGTCTGTTCACACGTCTCTCATCCTTCTTCACCTCCTGCATTCACCACGTGTGACGACTCGCAGGTGCATCTCGACCGTTTGTCAGAGAAATCCTGGATCCTATTTCAACACTAAAATTCATTACGAAGAAGTAATCCTGCCTACTTTTGTTTAGTTTAAAGCTCACTTCTCTCACATAATTTGCCTGAGAAATCAGATTTATGCAGACATAACTAGTTAGTAAAAATTAGCACAATGTTCTTGCTCATCTAGTAATTCTATATCATAGTTTCTAACGTTAAAAAGAAGAAGTAGAAATAAAGAAGTAAAAATATTCATATATTAGCAAACAGGTGACATAAAACAGAACTATGTGTTTTCCATATGACAAAATAAATATGCTTTTCTGTTGCTAGCATGCTTGGCTTAATAAAGTAATTAATTCAATAAGAAATGTGTGCCTAAAACTATAAAACAGTACAAAAAACTGCAACCGAACTGAGGATTTGTGGTGGTAAATACAAACGTTGAACAGTGAATACAACATTTTATAGCTGCTAAAGGAAACTGGGTAAAGATTACAATCAAAGAACTGCCTTAAGCCAAATTAACTCGGATTGAAACGCCAATGAGCTGCTCTGTCTGCTACAAATCCATAAATGAGTTTAGTTTTGTACTTCTTATGGTCAAAAATAACTTCAAATTTTGGTTTCTTGTATTTACAATGATTTATTATGTATTCTATTCCCTCAACCTCAGAAGCTTGCTTTCTTGATCACTTGATTAGAAGATCTTGATAAGCTTGAACACTGGTTTGTGGTCTTGGCGTGTGAGATTCATTTCTACAGCCAGTGCTCAACAGTCCAACAGTCTAAACTGGTCCCAGTAGCTGATATCAGGCAGCAGAACAATATAAATGTAATGACATGACTAAACCTGAGCTCTAACACTGTGACTAGTTTCTTTTGATCATGATTAAATTAACAATTTCAGTCAATTTTCTGTCCTTACTTATCTTCAGGTTGCCTTCCCTCATATCAGCTCTGTTACAACACACTCCTGTTCAATGCATGAAACAACTGGAGCAGTAACTCATTAGGACCTGATTGGTGCTGGTGATGCCAAGTCGAAAGAAAACTGGCAGGAACAGATAAGCGGTCAGCAGGGAGTTGATACTTTGGCCGAGGCACATGTAGAGGAATTTAAATCCATAGCGAAAAGCTTCCTGGGGAACACCCAGGACCTGGACGGCCGACATGAAGCTGGCGCAGAGGGACAGCCCCACCGGCACGGCAGGCATGCTGCGACCCCCGGTGAAGAAGTCGTCGGCGTTGACCACCTTCGGCCCCTTCCTCAGGGCCTGGAAAAGGCCTATTGCCATGGAAACCAACAACATGGTGGTGAAGACGGCGTAGTCAGCCAGGACGAAGCCCTGACTGGACGGCTCGCTGGCAGACTGATCTTCCATCGTTTATTTTTTCCAGACGTTTTGGGGGATCTGTCTGAGTGAATTACAGTCAGTTAGTGATGGAGACACATACGTGACTTCTGAACAGCAGGTAGCAGCTTCTGGTGAAAGCGAGTGAGCTGCCACTGAGTGTAAGAGTTTCTAATGTGTAAAAGAATAACAACACTAAAGCCAATTCATGTTTGTCTTTTCGTGTAATTTCACCAAAGACGTCTTGGATGAGCCACTTAGACTTTGTTGTAGCGTGTTACAACACTTTAACTTGACCGTGTCGTGTTTACATCATCTGCGTGTACATTAAACAAACAAAACTGTAACCCAATTGTGAAAACACAGCTCAGTATAGACACTACTCCTCTAAGCATAACAAACAGAGTCATGTTTCCAGTGCACTGCCTTTCTTACATCACTGCTATATTTTGCAGCAACTCGTTTAGCATCTTGTGTCCAACGTGCTGGAAAACAAAAAGTGGGCCCACTCGTACAAACACTGGAGCATATAAAAACATCAAAACCCTCGATAAACTGTGCACAAACATTGGGGGAAATCATTGTAAATTAAAGAAAACTATGAAACATCGTCTTCCCATGAGCCATGAAAATCTATCAAGTTGGTTTTCATCTCCACAAAACAGCAGCACAAGTTGTCCGACATTAAAAATGACCTCTGGAGGCACAATACTCAGATCCAAAGGACAAACTATTGCACTTCCACACTGCTGTAAAACACTTGAAGAGTTTGGATGGTTACACAAAGAATCTCTAATAAGGTAGAGCGACCGTCCCATCGCTAAACAACTGAAGGAAGAAAGTGCAATCCAGGCTTTGTTTTCCAAGAATTAAAACCATCAGTCCTCTTTCCCCTAACCCAAGTTTCACCTGTCTCGTCCTGTATGTGAATTTATTTGCCAAAACTAAAAGCTTTCTTCAAACATACTGCTGCTGTATCTTTATTTTTTCAGATAGTTTTACTGGCAAACTGTGTCTAATTCTATTTTGACGACTAAACCGCCAGGAGCAATTTCACAAGAAGTGCACTAGTTAAATTAGTATCTGTTCTTAAATGTTTAATCGAAACCTTTCTTTGTCGTTATTTGTCCCTTTTGACTTCAATCTTAAAAAAGTAGGACAGTTAAAGCCTTTTATTTTTCTGGTAAAAGGCTGGATCAGTGACATTGTTGGGTTTGGAATACAGACGGTTTTCTCTTCAGCTACCTGCTGAATTTTGTCAACTTTGACAAGAGAGTTTTTGCTGCCCAAACAAATCTCACGCCAAATCTAATGGCACCAAAAAGCCCTTAATTTCTGAAAAAAAAAGTCTTATGCAGTATATGTAGAAGGCCTTTGCCTTTACACAAAGCAAAGTCAGGCTTTTTACCCATTTCAGCACCGACACCGGTCCAGAAACTTCACCAAGAGCCGACTGTTAGTTATCAAAGGCGTACACAACAAACATCAGGAGCTGTAGTTTAGTTTCCAGCTGTTGAGGAGTATTTCCTCTGAGTTTATTAAATACCTGCAGCAGGACCCACACAAGCATTTGGAGCGCTGTTGTAGTTCAATAAGTTATAATTAGCCTGAACTTGGGCAGAATATTCAGTGTTTTTTGTCCCTCACCAGCTCCCACATCTCTGCTCCTGCACTGTTTAAAGGGTCAGTCTGTCAAGTAATTTACAATTTATCATTATGCATTATGAGTAATAACAACTTACAGAACCGAACAGTCTCACTGCAGCTGGCAGCACAACATTTAGGACAACACATGAATCTAAGGCACACCCTTACATACTAGTCAGTCATCATCAACCATGTGAATTCCCAGGTGCATAGTTTGACGTCTACTAATCTGGCTTTTCTTCATTCACTGTGGTATGAAAGTGAAACATATTAAAGCACAGATAGAAAGTGAGATAACCTTTTGTTACCCAGAGCACACTGAGGAGCGTTCTATATCCAAAATAACTTGGAAAAAGAAGCAATTATTGGGTTAAAATCAAAACATTTCTGGGCTGTTTAAAGACCCACAAGATTCTAACAGCACCTCTGGGTTGAAAAAAAAAGCTCCTATAATAAACTTGTGTAAAATAAAGTGTGTAATAAGTGAATAAGCCGTGGAAATGTTGATCCAAGTCATTTACGCACCAGGTGAGTGAAACAAAAATAAAAATAAATCCACTAGTTCTTAAAATAAATAAATAATTAAAGCTCTCCAGACACTCACCACTGTCTGTCCATTCAGTCGAGCTGCTTGCACTGACTGAGGCAGGAATGTGTTGCTGCTCTGCTGCTTCTTCTTCTTCTCTGCAGCTGCTGCGACTCCAAAACTCCTTCTGCGCAGCGCGAGTGCGTGGCGCCCGCGCGCATCACGAGAAGTTTTCTCTCAGGTAAAGAGCTCAGGTGAGACAGAGGTGAGACGGAGGGGGGGGAGGGAGAGGGAGGGAGGGACGTTACAGTGCGTGGCCAGAGAGAACAGGTGAAGTGGCTCGCGCTGATGCGCACAGAGCTGATGGAGAGCTCGAGTCTGCGGGATCGTGCGCGTGTGTTTCCACGTTTCCTCGCACGTGTGCGCCCATGAAAGACGGAGCCAGAGAGGGAAGGTGGAGGAAAGGTGAAAATGATCCGTGTTTGTGTGCGTTCACAGTGTCGTCGTTTCTCAGCGCACATTGTTGTACACGAGGGTCAAACTGACCTCATGATGTTTTTCATCAGTGGACTGAGGAAATAAATCAATCAGGCAGTAATGCTGTCTTTAAAATGTAGTGGAAAAGTCTCATCAGTAGTCAAAGAAATGACCTTCAAATCACACCAAAAGCCCAAAGACAAGAGTGGATTAAGCAGAATTGTTATTTTTGCTGACGATTCATCAAGTGGGGCTGCAGGGTGGCGCAGTTGGTAGCACTGTTACCTCACAGCAAGAAGGTTGCTGGTTTGCGTCCCGGTGGGGGCACCAGAATCTTTCTGTGTGGAGTCTCCATGTTCTCCCCGTGCAGCGTCGGTTCTCTCCGGGTTCTCCGGCTTCCTCCCACAGTCCAGAAACATGTTGAGGTTAATTGGTGATTCTAAATTGTCCGTAGGTGTGAATGTGCTTGGTTGTCTGTCTCTAAGTGTAGCCCTGTGATAGACTGGTTACCTGTCCAGGTGAACCTGCCTTCGCCCTGAGTCAGCTGGGATAGACTCCAGCGCCCCATGACCCTGGTGAGGATTAAGTCATGTGTAGATAATGGATGGATGAACTAATACTTCAGCTTTACTCAACACTTTTACTTCTCTGTATGCTTTGAGCAGGTCATGTTAATGTGCAGTTTGTTGTTTTTTCTAAAACAGTTTTAAGCTAAAAATTCTTCAAAAGAGTCAATAAAGTTACAGGCTGGTGTGCGTATATTAGAAAAGTGAAGTAAAATGAACAGAGTGAATGGCATCATTTGCAGACAAAAGCAATAAGTCTATTTTTGTACAGCTCCTTGATGCTGTGAAAAATATTCGTATAAAGCAAGTAGAGGGTCTTCAGTAGAGGGATGTAGCTGCCCCCGCCGGCCATCATTACACTGAGCCCCAGCAAACCATTATTCCATCCAACTGACAATAAAATAGGTGTTTCTTTCACTAATCATGGTTGGCCGGTTGTCCAAGGTGAAATGGGTGCTATCCATGTACACGTTACCTGTTATTTAAAGTATAATGGCAAAATCTGTGACGGCTGAGAAGCCTAATAGTGTGAGTAGCGAGAGGGAGACAGGTTGAACAATAACTAAGGCTTTATTCAGGGAGCTGGGAGTGAGGGACACCAGGAAGCTGGGAACGGGAATCCAAGGTGGGGGGTTCGAGGCTCTGTGCTCAAGGGGAGTTTAATGTCGGTGCTCGTGAGTGGGAATCTAAAAATCGTGAGGTTGGGTGCTGGCGAGTCTGGTGTGGCCGAGTGGAGCTGAACGGAGGATCACTGAGGCGAGAGAGACGGGTTACTCGAGAAACTAGTTACTCAGCAAAAACTCACTGGAGAACACAGAAAGCTAAGCGGCTGAAGTGCCTCTCTGAGAGTCGGTAATCGTCTGGTGCTGGAGCGCAGGTGGAGCGAGGCTTTAACCTCATCACTGGATTGGCTGCAGGTGGGAGACTGTGGGAGCATCCTCCTCCAGCCTGGAACACAAAAACACACTCAGCCGAAAACACAAGCACCAAACGAAAGAAAGGCCCAAATAACCACAAAATAAATAACACTAGTCCATACTCATCACTTTATAAAAAAAAAACATCACCCAGGATCAAATGTTGCATCCCCAGTGGGAAGCCTATACATGGCTTCTGGCACAAACAGTGTGTCTATCGTGCACCGTTTACAAGATGCAGTGCAGTCAAAAAGTCCAACCTTGAAACATCATCCCAGGTCAAACGTCTATAGGCGTGCACAACCTTTACATCGCACCGGTGCACCTCGTGTTCTAGCGGTTGTCGACGACATACCCTGGCACAGACATCCTCTGGACGTGAGCACCACTGCAGCATTGTCATGAATCAATTAAAGCTTTATTCTTCAGGGTTACTCTTCTGGGAATTTCAGATCTATAATAAAGCATTAAGTTTGTCTTCACAGAGTAATGGAGCAGCTTTAACAGGGCAAACGGGAGCAGATCGTATTTGAGGTTACTAAAGTTTGACCGAATCCGCTTCTCAAACAGAGGGAATTAGAAATGAACTCCTGCCTTTAATACAACCCTGCTTCAAATAAAGGCATGATAGATAGCAGCTAAGATAACTTTATTAACTTTTACAGACTCCAGTCACTACTGGAGGAAATATGTGACACAGACGAGCCTGAACTCAGTCCTGACTGTAGTCACAGAGAGTCCTGCAGTCGAAGCAACTGTGAGAAAAAAATGGGCTGAATCATTACAATTATACTTAATGCACATCATATTTCATCCTGTTCTTCCCTCTGGTGTTGTGCTTGGAGGCTGGTCCTTTCTGGGAAGATGTCAGCTGGTGAAACAATAATCATACCAATAAAAATATCCAGTAGTTTAAAGGCAGGAATTCAGAAGCTCGTTCAATCGTTTGTTCACAAAAAAGTTGATGACGTTAATAAAAATGAATTGAGTGTAATACTAAAGATCAAAGGTTCAGATCTGAAGGTTCATGCAGCTGATGATGTTCTAGACAGACTAGTTCTCTATTATCTCATACTTTATCTTAAGTCTGCCGCTTTGTGGCCTTTAACACGATTCCATGGCAGCTTTCTTAAGATGATCTTTGCCTGCTTGTCTTAAAGCTGTTGCACATTATTAAACTGTCAGACTGACTGTTTCACGAGTGGCTTCTTCTGCACACAAGCAATCAAATACCATTAACATAAAAGACTTTAGCCCCAGTTTCAGCTGGATACTGGAGGAATTGATTCATCTTCAATCATCAAATTGGTTGTTGTCGAGTTGTTTGGGTCGTGAACTTCATTGTCTGCCTAAACTCGGCTCGGCATTGACGACCACAGAGGACGCTGGTCAACTTCACTCATTTCCATTTTTTATTTCATTTTTTCAGAAAGGAAACAGGATGAGTGGTCAATAGTTGATAACCTTAAAATAAAAAAACACAAACCCATATTAATTAATTAATTAATTAATCTATCAACAATCATTTAACATCCAACATACCATCTCAACTTAGCAATTACAATTTTATCCTTTGAATATAGTTGAAACTGTCTCAACCTACCAGTGGCGTCTCTGCAGTCATCAACACAATGAAGAACAAAGGAAACACACCTGCCCAGGACCCACTAATGAAGCCTTCTTCTCTTCTTCAGCCCTGAGCTGACACACCTACTCACTCAAAAATGGCAGCACTGCCCTCTTGCTGCTAGTAAAAAAAAAATTGAACTATAGGTGAAAAATTAAATAAACAAATAAATGCATATGCACACAGCATAACCTCATTCATAACTTAACAGTTGTGCTTCAATTTTATTGGTAAATTTCCCCCAATTTACTATGAATCCAAGGAGAAGAAAGTCTCCCATAAAAGTGGAACTCAGAATACATTTTATTCTTGTGCCTTTTGCATCTCTTAATGTGGTCAGAATCACGTTCTCTGACAGTTTGTCTTTCACCGGTGACAATTCATCTCTGCTCAAGACTTTGGGAGATGCTATCACTTTGTTTTCAGTCGACATGAAAGTATTTCCTCCTAATCGTACACATGACGCATAAAACTCTTGCAGGTCAAACTGACAAACCTGACCGACAGGCTCCAAAAGTCTGGTAGTGAAGAAAGTGAAGGGTACAGACGACGCATGCTGCAATGCTACACTGGTGCTATCTGTCCATTTGAATGCGATATCTGATGGCGACGATGCGCATGTAATCGTTTTAGGTATAACCCGTTGTTGCTGTTGATGTGATTTTACCATTGTGAATATTTCCTCTACCCATTGCCTACCAGCTGACCTTTGTTCCATTTGAAATGTTAAATAAGAGAACGGTTGCTAGGCAGATTTGTCTATTCCTGGTCTTGCAAATGCGGCTGTAGCTACGAGTGTGTGATGTTAATGGCAAAAAGCACTTTTGAATTATGTTTTATTTGGAGAGAAAAAAACTGTAAATCTGTCATAAGACTTTAAAAAAAAATAGATTTACAGAGATCTCTACATCCTGCTATCAAGGACATCCAGTTTCAGCATCGACAGTTTGGCACCTAGAGACCAGTAGGTTGTTACCTTTGGATTGGAGGTTAGTTGGTGCCTGAAACAAAGGAGTTTATGTATCGTGGAATATTGCTCATGGAGTGATGGAGTCGCATCAACAGTAATGCAGATGTACCAGACTGCCAAAGTGTGTGATGACTGGGACAGAACACAAAGCTCTTGATTTACCAGTCGATCTACATTCTGTGACGTCTTGTGTCCGTCTTATGCCATCACCAACACTATGGGGGTATTGTTGTAGCAAAACTATTTATAAATGTGTATGGAGAGTTGTGTGTCTGTATCTCAATCTGTGTGTCTGTAGTGAGATTTGTGAATGTGTAAAAAGATTTGTCAATGCGTACAAACATCTGTCAATGCCTACAAACATATTAATAGATGAAAAGTCTAAGTATTTGGCTACAAGTGCTGGAAATACAGAAAAGTCACCAGTTACAAGTTAAGTGTTCCTCACCATTCTCAGTCTTTTTACACATGATTTTAGCTTCACTTGTGGTGAGAGATTCCTATCTGTAACTTCAGGGTTTCTTTGCCCTGAGCTCAGGCTCACAGGCTC